CTAATACAGTGTCATCTTACCCTTAAAATTGAGTGATACAAAATCAGCAAGGATAAGAAAGATATGCATTTCACTTTCTGTATTAATAAATTTTTAAGGGACTTGAACAAGATGGAACAGGACTACCTAAATCTATTTATGTGGAGTAGGTGGAATAGAATCTGGCCTGATGTGTATAAAATAAACTGCTAGAACTGCAAAGATGTGCAAATTTCTAAACTTTATTTCTATTTTTTTTCCAACTTCAGGATGTAGGATGGATTTATCTCCCAGTGTTTTTTTTTTTCAGTTATATACTCAGATGCAGTTCTAATACTTGTGACATTTCTCTCCAGAAAATATCATGGCTTTCAAAAATGACTAGATATTTTGGGTACTTCCAGTTTTGGATGCCCAACTGAAGACTATTTTGAAGAGACACAGTTTTCAAAAGGTGGATGCTTAGCAATCTCTGGAAATCAAGCTCTTGCAAGATACCTTTTTTGAGCAAGCAAAAAATAAGGTATCCAAAGCCACTACAATTTAGGTTGGTGTAAGACCCTTCCTTTCCTCGCTTTCCATTCCCCCTTCACCAAAAACATAAAATACATTGCATAATTTGGCTTGAGGCTGTGATACTACTGAAGAATATTTTATAGTGGCTGTGCAAATTATTTTAAACCCCATTTATTTGTCAAATATATGATACATCTCTGTGTAATATTAAGATATACCAGAATCTATGGGTGAAATCTATCCCTGTGCAGAGGGCCAGCATTAAGTAGCACTTCCAGCTCAGCTGAATCTTTCCTAATCTTGTTCCTGGTATTGGCCATTTGAGGTGCTTTTCAACCTACCTGAAGAGACAGTCCTGCAGCACTGCTCCAAGGCTGTTTTGCTACTGTTTGCAGGTTATTTTGGTTAGGAGAGTTTATACAGTGCTGTAAACTTATTCCCCCCACATGCTTAGGCTTTGGGTTATATATATCCTGTCAGTTTAAGAAGAAAGGGAAAAGATAATGTTCAGAGCTAACAGCACTGGGGCTTGGGATATTGGCAGGTCTTGTGCCTGATAATTAGTAAATGACCCTAGGATACCATCCTTCCTTCAGATAGCATCACAAAAATAATCTCTGCTTAAGTCAAAGAGTAGGTTTGTACAACTGCTGGAATAAACAAATCCATGATTTCAAAACCCAGATCCTACTCCCTTTGTAGCACTGGGAAAGACACCTCTTTCTCCTCAGTTTCTCTGTCTGTACAATATATCCTATTTACCTTACCTCATGGGGCTCCTGTGTAGATTAGGAGCCAACCGCTGCATTCCTTCACCAAGCAAAACTGCCATTTTGGCATCAATGGGAATCTGACTCCACTAAGAGCAGCAGCATAATGGCTTAATTTGACAGTAGTTAATAATGGGCTTGAAGGTAAAAAGATAGATGTGTTATCTATTGTCATTAGTGCATTCTGGATTTTCAGTGAGGGGTTTATAAATATATTTTAGAGTTCTAAATTTGTTCCATTTCTCTTCAAAACCTTTCCATCTAAGAAAACTAGAAGACTACTCTCAGACTCTTTCAGTTTTACAAGTAAAAACACATTGGATTTAGGGAATGGAAAAAGGAATATAAAGTGCTGGCCAATCAGAGACAAGAACAAATGAAATTGCTTTAACATTCCCGTGAAGCAATATTTGCAAGTTTAGAGACTATCCAGTTCACAAATACAACAAAAACATAATAGCTCTTAAAAAATATTCTCTATACTGTCTCCAGGAAAATAGTTATTTATAGGTGGGCCCGTTCCACCACATGTTTATACCTGTCTGTTGGAAGCAACTCAGGAGTAAATGGGGGAGAACTAAATGAGGTGGTAGTCCCTTAGCCTCCAGATAGAGCACTCACCCCCCACAGGCAATACTTTGCTAGCTATAAAACCCAACCCTACAGAATTTCTAACTCAGGCAAAAGGAATGCAGGGTTCTGGGCCAGAGTTCGATTAAAGGTGAAGTTACACTTTACACTTAGACCATACTAAATCTGAGGAATATTAAGTGGTGTCAAAGTTAAAATGTGCTGTGTGCAGATGGAAGTAAGGTTTAATACTGTTTCTTTCCTGCACTGCTCTCATTTACCACTACAGGGCTAGTGAGTAGGGGTGTGGCTAGGAGCCAGGACAACTGGGCTTTATCCCTGCTTTGGGCAGAGGGGGCCTGGGAACAGTGCATTCTGGAATGCTGGAGGACAGCAAATTGCTCATTTTATCTCCATGGACCAGACTGAAATTATGCTAACACAAGCTAGGTAGCATGGCCCAGAGTTAACCTTCACCTAAAGTGGTACAATACTGAGACACTCAGAAGGCACCCAGCATGATTCAACAAGCTTTAAAGCGTGGACACTCTTGTTTTAAGTGTCCTTAGTATGGCCTAAGCAAAATGTGTAACTTTATCTTGACAAAACAGCATGATCCCAAAGCCCATTGAAGTCAAAGATTCCTTCGCATTAACTTACATAGGCCTTGGATCAAGCCCACACTCTGATAGAACTGTGAGATAGCAGAGTTACAAGCCCTCCAAAAACTCCCTCCAATATAAACAAAAGAATGCTGTGGTCCCTTTTATATACATACATTAAAAGCTGAAATGGTCTGAAATGTTTACAGGTTAAAATGCATATACCTATACAACACCATGCCTTTCAAAAACCCAAGTAGAAAAGTTTTACAACACATTATACAGGTTCCTCTAATGTCTATAAAACATTTAGTGAAATTACCATATTACAAGAAGTCAGCACTAACATACAATACAATACTATTTCTTTTTTCTTTTATATAATCGTTACTTATATAATAATTAAAAAAAATCACTTTTAAACAAGTATACAATGTTCACTTTAAAATTAACCGGTTAATACATTTTGTGCAAAACAAGCCAGCCTCTATAATTAAGTGAAGTATTTTTATTTATTTATTTATACAAAAAATAAAACAAAAAAGATAGTTCTTTCAGAAATGAGTCTCCTTCTCTGTGATGGCTGAAATGTTGCCATCACCTTTCAGTTTGGCATCACAATCATTTACTGTAGCAGCATATGCTCCTGCACCAAGCTTCCCTCTCATTTTCAGATCTGGGCTAGGTACAATCAGTTTCCTGAATTTCTGAAAAATCAGAAAAAATGGAAGACATTGTGCCTCTTTCTCCCTCACACAGCCTTACAAACACAGCCAGAATCAATATCATATCTTCCTAGTAGGATTGTCTATGAACTCCCTTGTCTCTTTGTGCCCATTTCCTTTCATTAGCTATTGATACAAACCTTTAATCAATAAAACAAGCTACGCAGAATATGTCATTTTCTTAGCATTTCAGTCCAGGGCTCGAAGGTAAAGAGGAAAACTCTCATTTGGCCAAAGGTTAAATTTCATGAATAAAACAGGGTGAAATTCAACCCTGTACAGAGTGGTCAGTACAATAACCTTGTTCCATATACATCCCACTTAAATAGATCAATTTCTTCTGCATTGAAGTATCCCAAGATCTGAAGTGAGAAAAGTACTAGTTCAGACATGCAAAGGCTTTCTATGAGTATCTGACTATATTGTGAAAACTATATTTGTGTTCATCTGGAAATTTCCTGTCTTCAAGAAATAAGGCCCACAGGTTTCTCCACAGAGACAGACCCAAAACTCAGTCAATGGCAGCATCAGTATGTCCAGCCTCCTGAAGTTCCTTCTAGCTGAGATAATTTCCAAAGTCATGATCATTCCTATTTCTTTTCTTAATTTAAAGATTTTGTTAAGGATACTTTGAGGAAGACTATTCTACTGCAGAACAAGGAAAATTTCACCTAAGGGACATAACAGCTTCCATGTCTATTCTAGATCATGTCCCATGGCCCATTTTCTGCAGGTAAGCTGGATTTGTGGGCTTTCTTGGAGAAAAATAAGGTGTTCAAATACATTATTTGGTGCTTCTTCATGTTAAGACCCACGGATCCTTTATAATCGGATTTGCATAGAAATGGGCCCCCAAAGGAGCATGGGAGAAAGCGGAATCACTCTGCAAATATGGACATGCAAAATGAGATAGATTATATATAAATATCTCCCTTCCTCTTCCTCTAGGCCTTAGGATATAGGCGAGACTTCTGCTACAATAGCTGTGAGGACTACCTGTCTGAATTAGAAGTATGATGCTATCTGGTATAGGGAGTGAGGGAAGGAAGAGAATAAATTGGGTATTTTTAAAACCTTACAGGTCTGGAATAAGGTTGGTGCCTTAAAATGTTGGGATTTGTACAAAACACATTCTTGTACAAATACTGAGAACACTGTATTAGTGATATATGACTTTTTTTCCCTTTCGTATCTATCCAAAACAAAGTCTTCTGGCACAATTCAAAGTTATGCAACACCAACTCAACTTGGGTATTAAATTGTGGACTTTGCATTAGTCTATTTCCTGACTCTTGGCTTCTCTACTCATGAGAGCAATAATTGCTTCATTCAAACACACATTTTAATCCTGTCTTGTGCTGGGTGGAGGATGGTTATATAACAGTGAAGATCTTTTTTGAGATAGATGCATCTGAATATCCAAACCAAATAAACCAAGTTTGACAGCCACCACCTCTTCATCTAGAGTAAGAAGCATTGTTACAGTTACTCTCTTGTCTCTGTCTTCTGCTTTCTACTGCAGAGCAACAGAAAAGAGAGAAGATGTATAACCAGATCACTTTCTCCCTAACATCCTGAGTCCCAACGATGAGAGGCTGAGAGACACTTTATGTGCTTTCTCCAGATCCCTACCAAACTGCTGTAGAATGGGTGCACTATTTCCAGATGTAACAGCCACTTCATCAATTTCACTTCTACTGCATAGGTTATGGTATTCATTTTTCCCTTGATGTACAGTCCATACAGAGGGAGGGAACTTTGCTTCACCAGAACAAGAGAATCCTTTCTTGAATATGGCTTGTCAAGTTCTTGCATTATTATAAAATCCTAACAGATATGACTGTCAGGTCCAGAAAACGTCTATTACGCACGAAGAAGCAAGTACTGTTGGACCTTAATGACTCATTATGGTGGATATTGTGTTCCCTCTAGTAATCTGAATTGAATTCAGATGACCTTTGCGGGGAAAAAGATATTACTGCCTTCACCTGTAGTGGAAATGGAAAATATGTTACTGCAGTTAGATATTTCTGAATACACAAGATGGAATATGATGTGGAGCAGATATCCAGAATAGGTATCTGGATACTATATGAAATATGGGTCACTGAAGTATGCTTGTGTATGGGTGTCTGTAGATGAAACAGGGGCCCTAAAATTGAAGCAGTGGGTTTTAAAAAAGACTGCTTCAGTTTAGGGCTGATTAACTCCACCATGTCGTGTACACACGCCGCTGACTTACCTGCCTCTCCAGCGGAGAGGGGAAGTGAGCTGCCAGTGGGTGGAGTGGTCCCTGGGCTGCGGGGGCTGGTGTTTCCCTCTGTGGCACTGGTGGCCTCCCCCTAGGCGGCACCCACCCGCAGGCACCTGGCTCAAGCAGTCCTGGGAGTCACCGCAGCCACAGAGGGAAGCACCATGCAGCTCAGGCAGGCTTGAGTGGGGGATAAAAAAAAGATCAGGCTTGATGCTTTTCTTGGGTGAAGCCTGTTTTCCCAGGCTGCTGCCAGGCTGCCTCCAGGGCTTCCTGCACAGAGCCCGGGGCTTCGCTCCGCAGCTGTAGGGGCAGCAAACTAAAACTCCTTGAAGGAGTTTTAGTTTGCTACACCCCAAGTCATTTAAGGGACGTTACGCCACCAAATCTCCCACAGTGGCTGGAATTAAAGTGTGATACACCACTGATGCGTGCAAACACCAACACCACTGAAGTGGTGCAAAAGCATTTAGCTGGTTCTGCCTTTTCTAGTTCTGTCATCTTTGTTGCCAAGGGAGGAGGACTGAGATGTGTGCAGCCAACCTAAGCTATGCTTAGACCTGGCTTCTCCAAACCTGTTTTGGGATTGGTTTGGGTTGTGATGGAAACTACTTTCTGCCCAAAGAGCCTGCAAAGGTCCCCACCAGGATACTCAATAAAAGAGGGACAAAGAAACACAGACTTCCTCCATTTGTGTCTGGCTTTGTTTGGCTTATTTGTATTCTCAAGGTTGCAAAAGCCATCAAGAACTGCAAATGCCTCATAGAGGTAAGTGATACTAAGGATACAATCTTCCGAGAACCAGACATCACCCTGAAAACAGACTGGAAATTTGGCAGATGCTTTATGAAACAGAATATGTATGAAATACAGATGGACTTTTTCTCAGAAAAGCTCTGCAGTGAGAATGTCTAGCTAAGCTACTACCTGGCTGGTGGAGAAAAACATGAAGGAATTTCAGAAGGTCTGCCATTCTACCAGTATATACTTCTGCCCATAACCCTCAGTCCAGCTGAAGGATCCAGCTCCAATAAAAATGTTCCTTTTTGGCTCTGCTGGACTTAATCTCTTGAAGAGAAGGATTCATGCTCCCTAGCCCCCTTTTATGTTTTTGAAACAGCTGCTGTTTTATATCTCACCTCTAGAATGGTTCCTTCCATCTTCCATAACTTAATGCAGATCCACAAAGGAATACAAACCATGGATGAGAGGGCCATCATCCACCCTATCCCGTAGCCCCAGTCAGGGTAGGTATATACATTGTTGTATTTCAAAGGCTTATATTTTACCAGGAAAAAGATGAAGATTCCCTGAAATAAGGCAAGAAATGAATGAGCTGTGTTTGAAACCATACAGTCTCTGAAACAAGAAAAAATATAATTACATGGGGCAGTACAGTCTCCCTGGGGACTGGCAGTATTGTGTAAGCTTTCAAGTCAGAGTGAGAAAAATACCAGTATCTTTTTTTTGTCCATCTAAAGATAGCTACATCTTATTTTCATCCATTGAAATGAGGCAGTTTTCAAGTTTAACTGCTGTTTAACTTTTGTTTGATGACACAAAAACCTGTACTTTGATGGCAAACCATAACTTAGATTAAGTTTTAGTTCCAGTCAGCCTGCTGTGATAGGCATGGACTAGATGGTTTTAAATCTGTCACTTTTAGAATAAAAGAACAGCATTTTCAAAGTAGACTCGACCCCCTGATTATTTGCATCTGCAGGTTTGCATATGAAATCTTGAACATGAAAAGGGATCATATTTGTGCGTACAGATATTATGGACATTAGTTATACCAGTATCAAATAATATCAGTGTAACTGTTACATCAGCATCCCCCTATAGCATTGTCAGTGGAACAAAGGCACCCTGGGTATGCCTACGTGAGATGTTTTACTGAGCAATAGATTAATCTGTCCTGGCTGCAAGGGCAGCTGTCTCCGCACCATGTGGAGATTGGGACCATCCTGATCCCCACATGGCTGGAACAGCTGTTCTGGCAGCTGAGACTACTGCATCCCAGCTACGTGGGGATCAGGTCAGGACCCTGATCCCATGTGTTGGGGAGAGGAATCCCCACTTGGCAGGGACAGACATGTGGAGATTGGGACCCTCCAGACCCCCACATGGCTGGGAGAGGTGTCCCCACCCAGTGGGGATACTGCCTGGCAGCCATATGCGAATCAGGAGTCTAAATCCCCATGTGGCTGGTAGAGATGTCTCCATCTGGAGGGGACAACCACATGGAGATCAGGACCCTCTGGATCTTGTCATGGCCAAGAGAAGCATCCTTGCTTGGCAGGATGCTGCCTAGCAGTCTTGTGGGGATTGGGAGGGTCCCGATCTCCATGTGGCTGGGAGAGGCGTCCCCACAAGGGTTCTGATCCCCACATGGCTGTCTGTGCCAGGTGATGATGCCTGTCCTGGACATGTAGGGATCCGGACCCTCCTGGAAATGTCTCTTCTAGCCATGTGGGGATTGGGTCTGATCCCCATGTGGCTGGGACTGAGCAGTCCTGGCTGCCAGGACAGCTCTGACCCCTTATGTGGAGATTGGGACTAGCCATCTGGTCCCTGCCAGCCCTGGCCTGGCACCCAAGGGAGCCTGAATCTCCCCCTGGCTGCTGCAACAAGGCAGAGCAAGGCAGCGGGGCAGGAACATCCCTGGTCTCAACTGCTCTGCTCTGGAGAAAAATTGTTCCAAGCCAGTGCATGTGTAGACCCTTTCCCAGGGGCAGTTTACTGTGCCTTTTTTTAATGTGCAGTAACCTTGCTGTACATTAATAGCATATGTAGAAATGCCCTGTAACTTTAATCCTTTTTCATTCAGGTGGATGACTGGAACAAAGGTTAAATTAAAACCTATTTCATTCTGGGTTAAAGCAAAAGAGCTTTAGCTTGTTATTTATAGCACTGTAGGAACAAGCAGTCAAAGCAATTCAATTGTAACAGCTGATGTGTGCTCTCCAGTGGCAACTCCTCCCTAAGCTTTCCAAGCAGCTGAACGTTATGCCTGTCCAGATCCTTATGATTTACACCAAGTAATAGAATACAACAGTAAAAAATAGCAATGATTAGAAAACAGCACTTTTCATTTATTGATCTAAAAGCACTTCATGAAGACAGGCATTATTATTCTCACGTTACAGATTAGGAAATTGAAAGCAGTACAGTGAATTTCCAAACCCATATGCTCAGTGGCAGAGCTGAAAATGGCACCAAGTTCACATGAAACCCATTTTGATGCTCTATTCACTGTATTCCACTACTATTTATGCATTGTAAATGAAGGATCTTATTACCTAAACCCTGAGGAGGCAACAATGGACTCGGTTTTACCAAAAATTCAATTTATCCTCTTTTTCTTTCTTTTGCCCTCTATGCTGTTTAGTTTAATGACAGTAGACTTTGCAATCTCGTAAAGCTGCAGAGTTCCTCCCTTTTCCAAATGCGGTAAGAAACATTTAGCAGTCCTTCTAAGAGCCTTGTTACATGTTACACTGTACGCTGCTCAAATGTTGATCCATGTTAGTGTTAGATTGAGTTTGAAGGAGTCACATATTCAGGCCAGCAGGGGCCTGGTGGACTGAAAGGTAAGAATCCTTTCCCACCTCCCATTCCTGGCTTCTCCCCTTCCCCAAAGGTTCTCTCCTCATTTTGCTTATTGAGGGGAAAACCCTGCCCACCCTCCTGCTTACTTGTAGCTGGCCATACTGTCTGTCCCAGGGGAGCAGGTAAACAAACAATCCGCCTGCCTGGCCTCCATCGCTGCTAGACTGCTGCTCTTCTTTGGGCTGAGCCCGGCCCAGAAAGCAGCAGCAGCCATGGCAACACTGACAGCCAGGCAGGCAGGTTAACCCTTCCCTGCCTGCTCCCCTGGGGCCAGACAGCATGGCCAGCTACAAGTGATTGGGGTGGGCAGCTATAAGTGATTAGGGTGGGCAGGGGAGAAGGGGCAGTGAGTGGGGATCTGGGCTGCTGTGGAGGATGGGGCTTGATCCAGGCCAGCAGGTGGGGTGTTCACAGTAACATGCAGCCAAGAGTGGCTACGCATTAGTGTAACATGTATTGGGTAACATGGAAAAGAGATAAACCTTCCTCGGAGTGGAGTGCCTCAAAAGCACTTAAAACCAGTTTTAAATATTAATGTGTAGAGAATCTAAGGGCAAAGAGTTCCCGGAGTTGCCTAAAATTAACACATAACAAGGCCTTAACTAACATTTTAGGTGTTGTGACTGCTTTTGGTAATTGACCTGAAGATAGAGGAGAGAGGTAATGTTTTATTAAAAAGGTTATCAGCAAAGCAAATTTGACACAAAATTTAGAAGCTGTTAAGACATGCTTTACAACCCCCCCTTCTCCCCCCCCAAAACCCCAAAAACCCAGAAATGTTTTCACAAATGCTATCTTAAAGCCTGGAAAGGAAGCTGAATTTTATTTTTAAATAAATGAAATGCTCTACTGTAGTGTTTGCAACCCAAAACTGCAGATCTGAGAACCCAAGTCATGTTGTCTTGATGAGAGAAATGCAAAGACAAACATACAATACATACAACAAAATAAAGTATGTTATTTCTGGCAGTTTTAATAATCCAAGATATTCTTGGACGCACAAGTAAGGAAATATGTATATATTCACTTGTTTAGATGTATAGGAATGCTGGAATTGAGTAACCAAATTCTTCCCTGTCGTAGTTGCAGGGCATTGACAATGCTCTCAACATACCTGTTTTTGCCTATGGCATTTTATAGTGTAGTGTTGGTGTTTTCAATGTTGTTCATTGTACGTTGTGGTTAAGGGTTGGTAGGGGTTATTTGGGGGATTTCTCTGGATAATGAGTGCCTGTAAAGAGAGGGGACTGGACTTAGTGGCTAGGGAGGTCTCTTTCAGTCCTATGTTCCAGTCACCCATTTAATAGTCAGTGGATTGAACCAGCAAGTGGTATGGCCCATGACTATGGAGTAATTTTAACCTCTTGCATACTTTGGTGCACTTAGTGGATTGTTTGGTGCCTAGCCTCCAAGTTAAAAGTGTAACATGCACAGTTGGTGCTTTACTGGGCCATGGTTACAGTTTCTATAACATGGGACAAAGTATCAGTACTATTGGTTGGTCAGCTTCTTTTTCATCCATACAAGTGTAAAGCCTTATCTACTGCTAAAACTTCACTCGGAGAGGTAGGAGATCAGGGCTTTTCTGAAGGTCATTTGTTTGTCCAATGATAAGTAAAAGGGAGAGACGGGGATGGAAGAACTGAAGAATTAAGAGAATTAGTAGGGGAAGCAATAAATTGTTCAGATAAATACTTAATGATGTATATGTTTATCTTACCCCTTAAACGTTTGAAACTTATCCATAAGGACCTAGAAGAATTTGAAGGGGACAGACACAAGATTTCTTAGCAAAGCTGCATAGGGAAGCCACTACTAAATTGAACACTTCAGGTATCTAGTTGTATTTTTTCCTATTAATGGAAATACTAGAAATGTGTGTGTAAAGGCATATACAACTAATTAATTTAAATCAACCCTATTGCAAGGTTCCTTAAAATGTATGCAATATATTCATGAGGACTGCTTCTCCTCAGACACAGTCCATTAGCAGCAAACATCTGAAAAAAAGCTGCAGAAAACCCAATATATTCTTAAATTCAGTATTCAGATTTTTAATACTTACAGCACAAATACCAGGAGTTAGGAACATCCAACACCATTTAATTAATGTCAATGGCTTGTATCCAATCATATCTTCAATGTTTTCATAAAAGCGATTGCTGCCTGCCCAGCAAACCAAAACAAACACTGTTGTAGAATTATATTTATGAAATTGTAGCGGGGTAGGGAGGGAGAGGGGAATTCTAAGATTATTTAATGTGGAAATGAGAAGGGTTAGAAGAACAAGGCTGAGAAAACATAGCCCTAAAGATGCCATCCTAGATCTTGGGCATGTCTACACATGGAATTACTGGGCGCATCTACACAAGACACTTTACTGTGAAGGAGCATAGTTTACTGTGCAGTAAGCATTAGGGGTGCCCAAAGCAGGCCCTATTCAATTCGGATAAGGCCTGAATCAGGGACAGTGATTCGATTTGTTGATTCGGATAACTGTCCCTGATTCAATTTGGCCAAATCCAAATCTGAAGATTCGATGCTGATTCAGAGAATCAGCAATCTGGACACAGACACAGCTTTAAAAGTTTTTTCTACATAGCTCGAGGTACCAGCATGGCTTGTGAATGCTGTGATGCTGGGGCACATGGAGAGTCCCACAGGAGTGCAGGTGGACCCTCCTCATGCTCAGCTGAAAGTACTTCCGGTCCACTTCTGAGTCCACCATGGAGTGCACTGCCGCCCCGCTCCCCGTGCCCAACACCGGCTCAGCGATCAGCTATGGGGGGACCCTGGGTGCTCCCCCCAGGTCCAGGAGGCACAAGTCACTGAGCCAGGGGAATGCAGGGGTCCCTGCAAAGCACTCCCTGGCTTCTGGTCCACTTCTGGGTCTGCTGCTGAGTGTGCTGGGGAGCCCCCCGTGCTTCTGTGGGACACTCCATACACCCCAGCATCACAGCACTCATGAGCCGCCTGCTACCTAGACGTATGTAAAAAATTGCCGAATCTTTCCGAAAGTCTCCTAGTCGATTCAGAGGGTTCCAATTCAATTCAGAGAGATTCAAGGGTCCTCTGATTCAGTTCGGATTCGGAGAGTCAGCCACTGAATCAGGCTGAATCTCCGCCGAATCAAATCCAGGACTGAAGCTTTGCACAGCCCTAGTAAGGATCTACACATGCACATCCTTACTGAAAAATGTCATAGATTTCATAGATTCATAGATTTCATAGACGTTAGGGCTGGAAGGAACCTCGAGGATCATGAAGTCCAGCCCCTTGTCCTAGGGGCAGGAAGTCAGCTGGGGTCAAAGGTTCCCAGCAAGATAAGCATCCAAACGCTTCTTGAATGAGTCCACAGTAGGTGCCTGCACTGCTTCTGGAGAGAGTCTATTCCAGGTCTTGGGAGCTCGAACAGTAAAGAAATTTTTCCTTATGTCCAGCCTAAAACAGTCTTGGAGGAGTTTATTACCATTGGTCTTTGTTTTTCCTTGGGGCGCTCTGGTGAACAGACGTTCTCCCAGATCCTGAGGTACACCCCTTACATACTTATAAGCAGCCACCAGGTCCCCCCCTGAGCCTGTGCTTTTCCAGGCTGAAGAGTCCCATGCCTCTCAGCCTCTCTTCATAAGGCCTATTCTCTTGCCCTCTGATCATGTGTGTGGCTCTCCTCTGGACTCCCTCAAGCTTCTCAACATCCTTCTTGAATTGTGGAGCCCAGAATTGGATGCAGTACTCCAGCTGCGGCCTCACCAAGGCTGAGTACAGTGGGTGGATGACATCCTGAGATTTACATGAGAAGCATCTATGGATGCAAGCCACAGTATTGTTTGCTTTGCCAGCTGCAACATTGCATTGGTGGCTCATGTTCATCTTGTGGTCATTCATGACCCCCAAGTCTCTTTCAGCTGTGGTGCTACCAAGCGTAGCACTGCTGAGCATATACGCATGCTGCAGGTTTCTTCTCCTGAGGTGGAGTACCTTACATTTATCAATATTGAATGTCATCAGGTTTGTATTTGCCCACTTACTAAGTTTGTCTGTCAGCCTGGATCACTAGCCTGTCCTCAGGTGTGGATGCTATGCCCCAAAGTTTAGTGTCATCGGCGAACTTAGCCAGTGTGCTTCTGACACAAATGTCCACATCATTGATAAAGATGTTAAAAAGAAGCAGTCCAAGGACAGAGCCTTGGGGGACTCCACTAGTTATGGAGAGCCACGATGATTCGCTACCATCGATTACTGCTCTCTGGGTCTGACCTTGGACTGTGGTGAAGCTGTGGCCACAGTTGGCCAATTTTTCTGTGAGGAGGTCATGGGACACCAGATCAAAAGCTTGTTTAAAGTCCAGGAGTATGACGTCAATATCTTCTCCCTTGTCCAGGTGGTATGTCACCTGGTCACAGAAGGAGATGAGACTGGTCAAGCAAGACCTACCTATGACAGACCCATGCTGGCTATCCCTTCAGCCAGCTTATCCAGAAGGGTCTCCTTGATAATTTTCTCCAGAACCTTACTGGGGATTGAGGTCAAGCTGATTGGCCTGCAATTCCCAGGATCTACTTTCTGCTCTTTCTTGAAGATGGGTACCATATTGGCCTTCTTCCAGTCTTTCAAATATTTTTGCCAATGGTTGGGCTATGGCACCTGCCAACTCCTTGAGTACTCTAGGGTGTAATCTGTCAGGACCAGCTGACTTGAAGGTGTCCAGCCTCTTGAGGTGATGCTTTACTAGATCAACACCAATGCTGGATATAAATACGCCCTCACCCTGGCCATCCTGTGTTTTGCTAGGCGGGGTG